GCCAAGCCAAGAATGAAAAATTGCACTTGCTAAATTGAAATTCTTCTGCTGCATTGGCTCAGACTCACCCCAGCACATCTCTGTTTGACTACCTGGTAAAAGAGAAAGCCGAGTCTAATGGTGTTTTTAAATGCTCTTTGAAAATTACACTTGAAAGACACCTCCTCCAGTATTTTTCTCACTCCTCAACCCCCAAAACCAGAAAAAAAAAAAAAAGCCTTGAGATAAAATCCCAAGCCAAATCAGAATATGTGAACTGAAAATATCTGTAGGTGCTTGCTAAAGTTTGAACTGTTTTCTTTTTCTACTGTAGAAAATGCGCTTATTCCATAAGCATAAAAATTGATTGTACAGAACCCAGGACTATCAGCCTTTTGTTCCTGTAGCATCATGACAACACATATTTGAAATATTTTTTTCCTGATGTGCTCTGCTTTGTTTCTGTGAATAATAATAACTCAAGCATCTGATATTTAAAGAAACAATAATTCTATGGGTCTGATCCACATTGCAGTTCTGGATATGCTAACAACTCATTCATTATGTAAAAACGCTTCTTTTCATTATAGCTGTTTTTCTATTTTTAATAAGCTGTCAGCAACTTTCATTCAAAATCCTGATTATCAGTGGTTTGCAGCAAAACATCTTCAAAAATACCAAGATTTCTGTTCTTGACGGAAGAGGGAAGAATTTGTGGAAGATTAAATGGATACAAGGACGCTAATGCAGGCAGCCTTGGGTGGGTAAATGTTTGGGAAAAAAACGATTTGCTGAGTGTTCGTGCAGTGTTGCTTTTTCAGAATGCACAAAGGTGAAACACACCCAAGCTGAACTAATTGTGAGTCTGTAGTTTATACCAAGGGCTAGAGCGACACATCCAAAGTAACTGTCTGTGGGGTTTTGTTGTTAGGTTTTTTTTATCACTGGGAAAAATGAAAAATGCAAAGCTTGATTTTCTTCTTCCTTTCCTCAAGGTAAGTCAACAATACCGCCACTGATGTCAATGGTGTTACACTGCTGTAAAATTGGGGTGATAGAGAGACGAATCAGCACCATAATTTATTTCTTCATGTCAAGCTATTATTTTTCTTTTTAAGGCTCAGTCCTACTGTTCTCCAGCACAGCAACTGAAATCAGTGGTACCGTGCCTGGCTAAAGGTTACTTGCAACAACAAAAAGAAAAAAAGAAAAAAGGGTTTATTTCTTTTTCTTTTTTAAAATGTATACAAGCTTGTTTCCTCCCCCTTCCTCCCCACAATTTTTTCCAATACCAGAAATACAAGCTTTGTTACACGCCGTGGTCAGCCTGGAGAAGCAGGAGTACACCATCACAAGGACTGCAGGAGCAAAGAAGGTGGAAGGGGGAACATTTATATTCAGATTCCCTTCTCCCTTTTATACCCGTTCAATTAAAAACCTACAGAACAGCTGGATTAAAACACATGCATTGCTGGCCCACCCTGCCGGGCAATTAAGGATGAATTAAGTTCAAAGTTCACTCCCCAATCCCAGTTATTAAAGATATGCTTCCAGCAATTATTTATTTCCCCTAGGGGAAAAAAAAAAAAAAAAAGAAAAAAAAATGCCAGCAAAAAAAAAAAAAGAATGCAAGCAAGGTCGGTGGGACCAGGCACGGCTTTATTCAAAGCTTGATTTTCTTCTTCCTTTCCTCAAGGTAAGTCAACAATACCGCCACTGATGTCAATGGTGTTACACTGCTGTAAAATTGGGGTGATAGAGAGACGAATCAGCACCATAATTTATTTCTTCATGTCAAGCTATTATTTTTCTTTTTAAGGCTCAGTCCTACTGTTCTCCAGCACAGCAACTGAAATCAGTGGTACCGTGCCTGGCTAAAGGTTACTTGCAACAACAAAAAGAAAAAAAGAAAAAAGGGTTTATTTCTTTTTCTTTTTTAAAATGTATACAAGCTTGTTTCCTCCCCCTTCCTCCCCACAATTTTTTCCAATACCAGAAATACAAGCTTTGTTACACGCCGTGGTCAGCCTGGAGAAGCAGGAGTACACCATCACAAGGACTGCAGGAGCAAAGAAGGTGGAAGGGGGAACATTTATATTCAGATTCCCTTCTCCCTTTTATACCCGTTCAATTAAAAACCTACAGAACAGCTGGATTAAAACACATGCATTGCTGGCCCACCCTGCCGGGCAATTAAGGATGAATTAAGTTCAAAGTTCACTCCCCAATCCCAGTTATTAAAGATATGCTTCCAGCAATTATTTATTTCCCCTAGGGGAAAAAAAAAAAAAAAAAGAAAAAAGAATGCCAGCAAAAAAAAAAAGAGAATGCCAGCAAGGTCTGTGGGACCAGGCACTGCTTTATTTCTGAACCTGCTTGCACAAAACAGACGAGTCCCACTCTCACCCAAAACGGTGGTTTAATTTCAGAGGTGAAAAGAAAACTGCTGTGTTCTTAGGAGGCAATGGGTGTTTCAGAGATGCTCAGGAGTGAATGGAAGCAGCTCGTTCAGCCGAGCCCTGGTGCATATGGGAGGGACAGGTTTGTCACAAATACCTCCCAGCACCCAGTGTGAAGGGCTGGATTTCTGGCTTCCATAGCATCCCTGCTCAGATAAGACACCGAAGTCTTTCCCACCACGTACTTCCTCCCATGTCTTTATGGATGATTACGGTGTGCTCATCACCCCTCTTTTTTTTTCCTCCAGAAGATGCCTCAAGCATCATCTCCCTTCCCCTCTGCTGTGCCCATAAGGACATCATCTGCTGCTCAGAAACGACTGACAACGGCCCAATCCTAATGTCCTTCCTACAAGTAAAATCCCCACAACGCTTCTAGAAATTCCACCTAAGCAGCAACAATAACAGTCACAGGTGAAAAACAGTGTCATCAGGATATTAATGAGTTATTGTCTTTTCACTGTGCAAAAAAACAGACACCGAGGAAGGGCTTAGCACAAAATAAAGTCCTGCAACATATAACCACCTGAGAATAACGTATTTATTAATACAAATATCCTTCACACCATTTATTTGGTAAGTCTTCTAGTTCTAGGGAAAGAATATTCTTTTAAAACTGCCAGCGCTACAATCCCTACAGTGTGGTACAGACTGCCTGGTGTTTATTATAGCTGTAAACAATTAATGACTGATGATTAAACGCACAGTGAACTTATTAAAACCTGAAAGATTTAATTAAGTGTACTTGGCAGGAGATGTACATTTAAAATTAGTTCTAATAATTCTGCATAAAACCTAACATTTCTTGCATAGGTGCACGTAATCATAAGAGACTTCCTTTATTTATTGTATTTTTACATTTTATGTTTTAAGCAACTTTTAAACTTTCCCCTTCAAAATGATTTAAAGTAAAAAAAAAGAACAAAAATTGACAAACAGGTCAAATAATAAAACCTGCTCCTGGCAAACCGCCTGTTAGGAATCTTGAAAATATGCCTTTAATGTCATTTAAAAAAACAGCAGAAACATTTGTTGAAAAAATAACATTGCCCCAAATAAGAAAACTAGCAACTAAACCAAACAAGGCATTTTTGCTTTTTCCTTCATTCCCCCAGGTTTTGTCTTTCACTGGGTTCACAGGAATAGCTGGTACCGGCAGTGAAAACACATTTTTTATTCCGGGATGGAAAACAGCTCAGCTCCCCATCTTTTGTATCACATTACTGCGAGTTGCCCAGAGCCAATGTAATGTGTAATTTTAGCAATGTGGCATTGTTAAAATCCAGCCATTTCAGGTTTAGCTGTTCTACCAATAGTCCGAAGCCACGGGCAACTCAGGACTCCTCGTTATCGTTTGTGGAACACACACATTGCTGTGTTTGATGCAGTTTAACACATAGATGCTCTGATTACAAATGCCATTTAATATGACTTTTACCATAACTTATTGTGGATCATGCTTCTGTTTTATTAATTTTCCTTTTCTGCACCTCTTTGGTGCTCACCTATGTTATATTTTGCCTGACTCCCCCAAGGGCCAGCATGCCTACCAGCTTCTAGATCAGAACCCTTTGTAGCAAGCAAGTTTTAGATGTGATTATTTTATCCCCTAATGGCTCATTTCAAGACACTAACACAGGCCGAGTACTAAGCTAAGAACGATGCTAATTTTCTGCGGTAATTTAAATACACAAACAAGCTTTGACCCTCTATACCTGGTTTTCCAAGTGCCAAGTCCTCGATTAATTCTCTCCTAATCACTTGTCCTTAATTTATGAGAAGATATCCCTTCCTCCTGTCCTCAAACGACATTTTAGACAGCAGAAAAATCAAATCAGCATTATAAATAGCTTGCTTAGTGTGCAATTATTCCTTTTCCAGATCGCATCCCTGTTGAAATGGAGGAGAGTGGAGAGATTTCCAGCCTGCGAATGGGAGGGTGCATGTTGCATACCAACACCATGGCTTCCTATCTACATGTTGCTCGTGGTTATGCAAGTTAAAGACAAATGCAGCTGCTGCTGCCTTCCCCAGGAATCTCAGACACCAGCCAAGGCTACAAAAAAAGGGACCACAATCAAGCTCATAACAAATATTTCATGGAAAGTGAGAAGCGTCAACAGCCAGGGAGGGGGTGGGAGGATAATCTCTGTGACTTTCCTTGAAAAAGCCGACATTTTCAAAAAACAAATACTGTACGTTCAGTTCAGCTCCTTCAGTGGCTTTCATGTTATAGGAATATTTGCTGGTGATGAAAACGCTGTGGAGCCAATCAAACCGTGCCACTATACAGCCCGCCGCGCTAGGAGCCCAGTGTTTAAAATAACCCTTATGCATTATTCATTAAGAGTTGATGTTTATGCAAATTACAGAGGCATGTACCCACCTGGCCATCATGGGTTAACAACAACAAAAACAATAATAGTAATAATAATAAAAAAAAAATACATACACACACAACCTCTCCCCAAACAGACCACCAAGCTTCGAGCCATTCCCAGAATCTAAATAATCAATGATGATTCTCCTTCATTAAATGCATCAAAGAATTGCAATCCTTACCTGGTTAGCTTTGTAGGACCCTCAGATTTTCTGGATGAAATAACTGACTGTGCATGCAACCAATAAAACTGAACTGAAAAGCTGATTAAGGGCACTTACTTAATGCAAAGCCACTCACTGAATATTCATATGATGCCTGTGTTTATGCAAATTAAAGCAAAAGAAAGCCCAAGGGGATTGGTTGCCATAGCCCACAAACACTGTGTACAGCAGAAAAACAGAGAATAGAGACAAATAAATCTTGAAAATCATAGCTGGGAAGGAGAACAAGGAGTGTAGTAAAATATTAAAAGAGTTACATGAATCACAGTTTTTAAGAGCTTTATGTAATCATACCATTTTTAGGTCTATCGGGTATTTTTCCACACTGTAATAATCTGTGATTATCATCACCCTATGAGACAATATCACTAATGTTTGTCAGCTTTATTTATTCTATAAATGTGTAAGCAGAATCCTTAAGCATATCTAGTAGGTGAAAAAATAATTACAACAAAAATTACAGTCTTTCATTTGAGGCTGTCTTCTCAAGTGAATGGATAGAGAAAAGTAGAGTGTGCCAGTGGGAGCTTGCTAAAAATGAAATTTAGCTCCTTACTATCTTAATTTCAACGTTTATCTGCTTCATTCTAAATGCAGGCTCATATGTGATATAGTTAATAGTACTGTTGCACTGGGCATTGTAAAAAACCACTGTCTTATAAAAATTACTTCTTGAAAAGACCATTTTTTTTACAATGAAAAAATAAAATACATGGGAAATTTATATAAAATGCTATTTCTCAAATCAGGTTCTAATATATCGATTCAGATTCTTAATATGGTAATCACTAAAACTGATAATTTTTTTTTTTACAATGAGCTATTTCATAATCAGAAATATATAGTATATCAGCATCGCTATTTCCCTGATAAGCAAGATATGCATAAATAGAAATCCTACTCCCCTGCAGTATATTGTATTTTAGCCTTTTCCATTTATTTCTATCAACAAATTATACTTTCAAGAGAGCTTCCCATTTGTAGATAGCCATGAATTTATAGTGCCATTGTTATTCAAGTTTTAAGACAGATCAGATGAAACAATCTTATGCAAGGTATTTGAGTTATGGATCAATAGGTACATCTGGCTTTTAAGTTTTCTGTGATTTCCACTGATATCTATTGGCTGCTGTTAGTATATAACTTTTCATCTGGAAAAAAACCAACAACCACCAAAACAAAGCACAACAGCTATTCCTCCATGGGCACACAAGAAGTGGGATTGCTGGCTTGTAGGAAGGTAATGGGCACCCCTTCCTGGTAAAAGGAGTTGAGATTAAATGCAGCTTCTCAGATAGTGGAGTGATGGTCTGACTGCAGGAAATCAAGATACACTCTTGCCTTCATCACCATGGAGATTCCACTGACAGTTTTGCTTGTGAAGACTATCCCATTCCCATGTTTCCACTAGTCCTAGAGGGGACTGGGGAATTTGCCACACCAGCTTATGACTTCTGAGTTGATGCCATTGCCTGCTGTGAGATTCAGGACCATGCAGCAAAGCCACCAGTAGCAAGGTGCCAGTGGGTATGTCCTGTTGGTTCTTGAACAAGGGCAAAGAGGCTCCTTGGTCATGGCATACCAAAGCTCCCCGGGGGTGCCACAAGCAGAGGACCCTAACAAGCAAGAACAGGGAAAGGCACCAGGGTGACCTGCTTGGATGGCCATGAATTCCTCCCTGAATAAGGACCTCTAAAGGCAAGAAAGCAAACCATCATATGGAGAGAAAAAGTGAGGTCCCACACAGCCTGAGGAAAGAGCTGTGTCCTGAAAGATGAACTTTGCAAAAGGTCAAAAAGTTTTGCAGGGGTACAAATGTGCTTATTTATATCTAATATTTTTTCTTGACTTATGTGAAGGATAATTTTGTTTAGAGATCCTTGGAAAACCTATGTATCTTAGAGCATCAACATTACCACAGATAGCTGAGTAGCTAAACAGAAAATGCAGAGTGCTCACATATTTACAAGAGGCTGGGTCCTCAACTTGAGGAAAAGAAAGGTATCTAGGGACGAGGGAAATTGGTTGCCAGGACAGAAGGCAGAGATGGAGACTAGAAGGTCAAGAGAAGGGCAGTCCTGCATTCACTCTTGTACAGAAGAGGCTTATGCCAGGAACTGGGGTCTCACGAGCAGCTGAGTAATAAATATCCAGCACAAGATTAATCAACTGGTGAATATATCTATGTGTGTTTATAAAAAAACAAACACTGATCACCTCTACTTCACCCACTGAAAAAAATATGCAACACAAGGACTTTACAATTTTCAAAGCAAGCACTGGGGAATTTAAAATTATTCCATAAAGCTTTTTAGAAAGTTCATGAAAATGTAATAGAATTCAAGAGCTTCCAAGATTTCCCATTTCTTCTTCCAGTTGTGAGTGAAGAAAGCTGAGGTGCTGCTGGCTTTTCCAGCAGTCTTTAGTCATATTCTCACGTACTTCAATGCATTTATTTCTAACACTTTCCACAATGTGATTCAGAATGTGCTATGGAGCTAGCTGCTTTATTTTTTCCCCCCTCCATTTTTCTTTTCAAAAAAAGGGAATTTGAATTTAAATTTAAATGGGAGTGGAAGTTGCCAAAGTCCTACCTTTTCAACTCTAGCTTTAGCAAAGATGTATGTGTATGACCTGCTTCTGTGAAGTGATATTTCTGCCGTGTAGTCCTGTCAATCCCTCACCATTCAGGAATACTAAACCAATAAAGTAAATTATTTCAAAGAATAAAGAAACAGGGAAAATCTAATCCATAAATTGACTTCTTTGTTCTGCCAATTGACTAAATGATACTTAAGTCATCTCTAAGTGCATGGAAAAAAATAAAAGGCATTTCTATTGTGAAGCTGATGAACAATTAGGCAATTGTAAAGTATGGAATAGTAAAGTGGAAAACTCATAGTAATAATGCTTTCCATTTTTCTCTCTCCCATTTATTTAATTTTTTTCTCTGCAGCAAATACCATAAGCAGAGCAGCAAGGGAACTTCACATTCTAACTTCTGGATTAGTGGCAATACAGGAGATCTAGCTACTTTCCAGAAGCCCACGTACACAAATTATTATCCCTCCACTGTTTCACCATCATTTAGATAAAGCGGGGGGAGCTGCACTCACTTGTCCTTTCCTGCAGAGACCACCTGCATCTGTTTGCCCTCAGGTGTTACACCATTTTCAAAGCTGAATGACAGAGAGACATGCAGAAAAAAGCACTTCATACACTCACCTGTATCATGTGTGTCTCCTGGATGTCCAAAGCAATAAAAATAGTAACTTGCACCACAAAACCCTACTGGTGCACGACTCAAAACTTTTCAGACTGTGCACACTCCCAAGCATTTCACCTCACATTTTGGAAAAGATGGTGTTGAAGATGTCTCCATAACAACAGGTTTGCTGCTCCTTGTCAAAGCAGCTTGTCTGCATGGGATGCAGTGCCCTGCATCAGCTCGTGTCTCACCATTTTTCCTTCCTTTCTTCAGCAGCGTTTCTTGTATACCTCTTTTCATATTTTTCTAGCTCCATCTCTCTTTATCCTTCTCTTGTCTCTCAGCTGCTGTCCCAGTAACCAAGTATTTACTCCTAGTTAGCAACTTCCCTGCTCTCCCACCAATAACAAAGTCCATTTCAAATCCTCCCTCTCCTGGCATCGTCATTCCATTACTAGCTATTCATGAGACAAGACCAGTATATGCCAATATAATTGTCTAGACACATTGCATCAGTAAAGTTTGATCCCACATAACATAAACATAGGTTGGGCATCACAGGAAATTAGATTGAGCTGGAAAGGTTACAGTGGAACAAAGAGGAAACTTAACTTTCTGTCACATACCATTGAAGAGTCAATAGAGAAGAATGAGAGGTGACCACTCAAAAATTATACAAAATATTCCAAGTCTGTTTTAAAGAAAGATGTTACACTGTAAACCTTCACAGAAATGCCTGGAATATTCATCCATACAGAAAAAAAAAAAAAAAAAACAAAAAAACCCCCCAACAACAACATAAAAATAACACCACAAAAAAACAACCCAAGAAGTGAACTTTTCTTGCTGGTGGAAGTACTAACTTCTGAGAGAGGAAAAGCATTACCTCCAAACACAAGTAAAGATTAAAGAGTAAGGAGAACTCTATGTGTGAGGCTGGAAACAGTTTTTACAGTGTTTGTGACATTAGCTCGGATGAGACAAAAATAAACCTGCTATGATGAGGATAAGGGCAAAATTGTGCTGCAGCCAAAGATTATTTTTTTTTAATGAAAACTGGTGCAAGATGGAGGAGAAATGAAAGAGCAAACATAAATTTTTATGACCAAATGGGATTTTAAAATTAAGCACAGCAGGTGGAAAGACCCTGTGCTATTGAAAAAAAACCAAACAACATTGCATGTCCGTGCATGAAACCCTTTTCTCTTCTCAAAACACTCTGCTGTCACCTAGGGTATGGGAAATCAAAGCGTGGGATAGGAATGGCCGTACAGCTCTTCCCACTGGCAAGTGGTGCAGCAAAGGCATTTGGAGCCAGGACTAGAACTGGAATCAAGATGAGAAAGAGAAAAGGCCCTACTTTCAAAAATCACCTCTGGATTCCAATTTCTTGATACACTCCTGCTCCAGGAGGTCTGCTAACAGCTGCTTTGAAAAGTATCTGGTCTGAGAGGAATTCTTTTTTTTTGTGATCACTGCACCTGCGGGCAGCCCTTTGAATGGACACACAATCTAATATGAGTGTAAAAATCTCACTTTCAAGCAACATAAAAGACAAAGAGCCACTGGTAAATCTGTTCAGGGGGAAAGAAAAAAAAAAAAAGAGAGACAAAAAAACAGATTAACTGATTCCAGTACTGAAACATTGTTCTGTAGCATGAAGGTACAGATTATGCACTGTGAACAAAGTGCTGCAAGGTCTGGAAACTGGCTACCCGGGTTGGAGCTGAGGTCCCCTGTGGAAGACATAATTTTGCACAGGAGCTGTAAAAAAAAAAGTAATTACCCAAGTCTGTATATGAAAGGTGAGGAGGTTGGCAGTGAGTGTTAATAATCTGATATACCACTTCTTTAG